TGGTGGTGGTGGTGGTGGTGGTGGCGCTGGGGTTTTATTATTAACGTATGAGTACACAAATGAAAATACACAACTGCATTGGGTGTGGGGTGCGGCGCTCAGGCGGGCGCCCACGCACCTCAGCTGCATAACTCTCCGTCTGACTCTTTTGCTGTCTCGCTTTCTGTCTTTGTTTCTCACTCTCTCTCTCTATATGTGTGTGTGTGGGTGTGTGTGTGTGTGCTGTAGCTCACTGGTCTGTTTTCTGTCCTCTCCATCATTCTCATTGAAATAGTAGAGAGAGAGAGAGAGAGAGGGGGGCGGTGCGGGAGTCGTGTGATAACACGTAACACGTACAACACGCATACGAACAGTCAGGGAAGGAGGAGGAGCAGCGGGAGGAGTGGCGCAGGCAGCAGTGGGAGCGGCAATCCTTGCGGGGCACGGAGAGAGGCAACACAACGAGGGGTCAGCGGAAGCAAGTCAACGTAACACAACTAAGACGGCCCGGCGGGCAAAGCGGAACCCACACACAAAAAAAAAAAGAAAAAAGCCCCCAGCAGCAGCAGAGGTGGTGGTAATAGGCGAGTGGGGTGCGTGTAGTTATATATATATATATATATATATATATAACGCGGGCGCTACGGAAGGAGGACAATTTCGAACGAACAGGTAGGGGCAAAAGCACAAGAAAAAAGCAATCCGAGGCAAACAAAATAAAAAAATAACGGACCAAAGGGAAAAAAAAACGACGGTGTGTACTTGTGACTAGGCATGTCAACAGCGGCATCTGCAACATCGTCGCTTCGCTGGGTCAAGTACGAAGATGTGTACTACGCCGCGTTGGTTGTGCCAGATGACGAGGCCCCAACGCAGGTGCAGAGCGGCCACGCGTTTGTGTACTTTCTCGGCAGCGAGAGCGGCGCTGTGGTGCCGATCAGCGACATGCAGCCGTACGACCCGCATGACACAGAGCGCACGAGTCACCCAGCAGCAGCAGCTGGTGTTGCGGTAGCGCAGCAGATCATCTCTGGCGCAGCAACAGCAGCAGCGGGGGGCGAGGAGGATATGGAGGGGGAGGAGGAATTGCTTGATATACCGGTAAAAAATAGAACGAAGGCGAAGGGATACCTTGATGATGATGATAATGATGATGTGGAGAAGCTGTTGCCATCCCGCCAAGGTGGTACCAAACGGCCTCGTAGTGTGGCGGAAGAGGAAGAACAAGAAGAGTCAGACGAAACGTCAAGCAGCCGTAGCAGCAGCAGCAGCAGCCATGTGAGCAGCGAAGAGAAGGCACAGCGGAGCCGCTGGAATGACATGGCAGAGGATCTCGACTTGACGCCACCGCAGCGAGGCAACGGTGGTAACAACAGCGGCAGCAACCGGCGCTCTGCTGGTGGTGTTGGTGTTTCTTCAGGACAAAAGTCTCGCGAGAGCGTCCTTGACGCGTACGGTGGCTCGATTGTGACGCCATTCCTCGCGGAGATCCACCACCACTACCGCAAAGCCCTCATGAAGGCGGCAGAGAGTGACCGTGTTGTGAACATGCAGGAGTCCGACATTGTTCGCGCCGTCGAGGCGGAGCTGCTCGCGTGGCGCGGCGAGGTCGCCTACTTGCAGCGCCTCCTCCAGGACGTGGAGGGGGAGTATAGGGCTGTTGCAGCTGCCGCACCGCACGATGCTGCGGTGCTCGAGGAGGAAGCGGCCGCCATTCGCAGCCGACTGCAGCGACTCCGGTCTTCCTTCAACCTTGAGCGTGTGGTGGAGCAGCAGCTGCGCGTGCGCGACAAGGTGAGCGAGCGGCGTGAGCGGCGGCGTCACGGTGGTGTTAGCAGCAGCGCCTTCACCGATGCGTCGCTGGCGTTCATACTGGATGCGAAGGCCTTTGCCGCAGTGCCGCGCGAGTTACCGCAGCAGTTGGCGCAGCGCTACCGCGAGCAGCGGATGCGGCGTGAGCGGCTACTTGCCTCGCAGCACGGCCTCGGCAAGACCGGCTTCACTGCACCGGTGGCACGTGTCATGGAGAAGTGGCGGCAAGCACGAGAGTTGATTGTGCTCGACCCGCTGCGCGAGAATCAGCCAGTGTCGCGCCGCTACTCTGAGAGTCTCGCGAAGGTGGAGCGGCACGCGCTGAAGTGCTTGTCAGCGTCGCAGGGCTTGGCGCATCGACTGACGTCCGGGCACGGCGCCCAACACCAGCAGCAGCAGCAGCAGCAACAACAACAACGTATGCACACACCGGCGAGCCTGTACCGGTTCCACGACATGCACGATGACGAGCGGCAGGTGACGACGGCGACATATCAGCCAAGCAGCAGCCACCCGTACATGCTGAGCAGCGCCATGCCGGACGATAACCACAACAATCTCAACGGCGACGGCGATGGTGAGCGGGACGCATTCCAGGCGCCGCTCATTTCGCCATTGCACATGAACTTCGACCCCCGCGCGACCTTCGCGGTGGACCTTGGCGAGATTGTGCACGAGAATACGCTGGCGGAGCAGTTGGCGATGCGCAGCATGCAGTACAGCCATAGCATCCGCCTCCCTTCGCAGGAGTCGGTGTGGGAGGAGAGCGAAGCATACGACGCGCCACTGCCACGGCGACGACGAACCGGCAGGTCAACGAGCCGTGCCGGTTCCCTCTCGCGTGCGTCCTCGCGTGCCTCCTCGCTGGGGCGGGACGACAGGAACAACAGCAAAATCACCACTGATAATAACAATAACAATAATGTGAATAATAACAATAAGAGCGGTGGTGAGCGGCGGCCACGCAATGACTGGCGTGCGTCGGCGAAGCGTGCGATACTCGAGCACCTGACGCTGTACCTGCGCGGCATACGCGGCAAGCCGGCGGTGCTAAGCAAGGACCAGTTCCAGTCCATCGCGAAGAAGCTCCTGGAGCGGGCGGTGCGCAGCGAGTCGGAGCGCACGGGGCTCTCCATGTCGCTGCAGGCGAACAACGCCAGTGCGCCCTTCACAAAGGACATCGAGGGCCGCCTGCGCAGGTCGGTGGACAACTATGTGCAGCGCCACTTTATTGCGGCACGCACGCCCCGTGAGCAGCAGCAACAGGAGGATGGTGAGGCGTCGGTGGAGCGGTGGGCGTCGGCACGCCGCGGCACAGCGCAGCGGCAGGACGACAACGACGAAGACACGCGCTCTGTCATGGGTGCCTACCCACACGCAACAGACTCACCCGTGTACGATCAATGATGATGATGAGCATTGTTATTGCGATGACGGCGGTGATGCTGCGTATGTGCTGATGGTGGGCGTGCCACATGTTTGTTTGATTGTTTTCTTGAAGGAAAAAAAGGGTGAAAAAAAAAAA